AATATAGCATACCATGTCTCTTTTTCCCATGTTACTAAAAACACAGTTACACTGTGTTCCCATAGTCCTTCCATTACATGTAGTAGTAGGATGCTTGTAAGTTTTTGGAGACATTAGTCAAGTAATAAAAATGATACATTAGCATATATTTCTACATGCTTGAGAAGGGAAATAAAGGAAGCTATGAGCGCAAAAACTCTTTGATAAAAGAGAGATTGAGGAAAAGATTCTTTGGACTTTGTGTACATTTGCTGCATTATGCATATGAGTGGAGTTTATTGGAGGTGAAAAGAATTGTCTACTGCCATAAAGAATTCTATGCTTGTGAAGAGAATATAAGGCTTGACAAATTTGCTTGTCAGTGTATGTATAAAGTGATGACCTAAGAGTATGTCAAAATGTCCAATACAGTAACCTGTATAGAGAAGATGGAAAATTAAGCAATAATTACTCTTTCATGAATCCCAGGAGAGCATTTTTTGCTCTACCTTTCATATTATTAACAAGACCCAAAAGATTAGCTGAAGGGAATATTCCCTCTGACCATCTGAGAGCATAATAATATTTGGCAGGTTCATGTGAGGGGACAAATGGTTTTGATTGTATTGAACACAGTTTCCTTATACTAATTATTTAGCAATTTTCCTTGTAACTAATACGAAACCCTTTACATGTTATGCAACTAATGAAAAGTGAAAAATAAAATATTACTCTTGTTGAAAAAATAAATAGATTTTTCTCAGTGTCAAAGGTCTATATTAGAAGCATCCCAGCTGAAGTCAGTAAAGACAAGTATGTTGTTACCATAAGCAAGAAAAGTCAGATGTTTTTGGCAAGTCATATAATACACCTATGTGCAATGCAAAGAATATAACTAGCTTTACATTATGACCATTACAATTCACCTCAGTACCAAGAGCAATTAGAACAATTAAAATTGTTAAGATTTTATATGAATTCCTGCAAGTGAAATATTGTTTGTGAGCTCTCTATTATAATGTGAAAAAGCTGTCTTCAAATACGTGCTATTTTTCTTCAGATACCACATCTGAGTATTGGATAGTGTTTAGTTTCCAATCATAATTTTAACTTGCTTCATTTAAAGGAAAAGCAAAATATAAAACTCCAGAGTCTGAGCCTTAGTCCATCCCATTCAAGTTTTCCTTTTCATTTAGCCAGTTTCCACTATCATTTCATGTTGGGTGTTTATTGCCAGACTGACAACTGCAGGGATTTCACTAACAGCGGGTAGATGCTGCCACAAGCATCTTCCCAGGTACAGAAAAGCAAACAACACCAGAGTTAACTCACTGATCAGCATCACCGCCTAAGCAGTGGTCCTGGTGTGAGCATGGGCATGCCTGCCCATGCCCAAACAGCTATATAAATTCTATCCACTTTCCCACTTAGGCACATTTTTTACATCATGAGAAGTTAAGGAAAGAAAATAGTTGTTCTTCCTTTACAAACAAAGTGCATTTTTTCCCCCAGCTGAACGAAAGCCAGATGTATCCATGCAATTTCAGAATGCTGTAACTTTATCAGAATCTTGCTCCCCCATCCCAAACTACCATCATCAGAAGCACTGCAAGAAAGCTTTCTGGGAGATTGTCTCACTCTGGTGAATTCAAAGACACCTGCCTGACACACTTTAAGATTTTGATACTCTACATCAACAAAATTCCTTCGTAGTCTCTCACATACCCCATCTGGTTTGGGGACAAGAGAATTCTAGCAAAATATATTCACATGACAGTTCTTGAGCTCCTAGCTTACTGTTCAGATAGCTCTTAAACCAACAACAACAGTAATATATTGGCTTTCAAAGGCAGAGGCTAAATGCTTGACTCCATGCAACCAGCTGGAAGGGATTCCCTTAAACGCTGTGCAGTAGGTATGTCACCTGGTGGGAATGCTAAGGGAGGAAGAGATTATCACAGTGCATAAACATTTGCTGCCAGGCTTCGAAGAGTTAGCATGACCTGGCATAACACAGAATGACTACTGACAGCTAGTGAGCAAAGTTAAAAGGATACTACTCCAAGAACTCCTAGGTAACCGCTTATAGCAGATTACATATACAAGAAGTGAACATACTTTACAGTCATGTGACCCTGAATTAGTATTTAAGTTATGACAACACATAAAATATATTTCAGATAGCTGTTCAGTAGGCAAGTAATACTATATACTACCGATAGGCTGAAACCATAGAACATGGCTGTTGAAAGAAAAAATCTGATAATCTAAATAAGTGATTTGCAAAAGAAAAATCAAAAGGTTTTCCAGGGCAACATCTGATTAAAATGATGAAATTAAGTGCACCTGATCAAACATATCCCTACAGTGAAGACAACACATGGTGATTACCTTTGAGATGGAAGTTAGCCTACACCCAGCGGTGTATCAGGGTTTGATAACCCTCACTGTAAAAATGGTAAAGAACATGCACTCCAGTTAGTTTCCATTTGCTTGGATTTTCAGTGGTATTGTGCATATCCTTACCAAACCAAGGGGGGATTCTGCATAGCTCTTCACAGTCGGCTGATTCAACCTCTGATTGCCAGCATGAAATTATTATTTTCCTCATTTATAAGGCTTAGGCCCCATTTACGTCAATTAAATTAGAAAATGTCAATTAAGTTAGAAAGGGTGTATTAGTATCACTATTCTTAAAACGCATTTACAAGCACTGCATTTGCATCTCTTGCTTCATGCTGTCCTTAGCTTAACAAGATTGTTTTTGTGATTATTTCGCTCTCTAGTCTGAGGTGCTGCATTAACTGATTATCTAACATCTGTTCTAATTTCGAGTATATCTTTTAATGCCAACGCACTTGTGGATAACATGCACCTCCCTTTAAACCATGATCTGATTACACGGAATACCGGTACAGTCCTTGACCCCACACGAGCTAATGTAGCTCTTAATTGGCGTCCTTGGGCTCGCAGCCAACACCTTCCAGCGCAGGAACGCAGATGCGCCGGGGTTACACGTGTCAAAACCCTAAGCGCGAACCGGAGATCCCATAAGCGAACTCAGATTTAACTGCGGTTAGCGCCGGGATTTCAGCGGGCACCGGGGAGCGCGGGCCCGGCACCGCCCGTTACCCCAGCGCGGGGCCGGCCGGGGAGCGCGCCTCGAGGCCGGGCGGGCAGGGCGCGCGGCGAAGCTCGGCCCGCCCGTTAACGGCCGCCGCAGACCGCTAGGGGCCCCCACCCCCTACAGGCCGGCGGGGGCCG